TATGTGCAGGAGCCTCTCAAACTAAAACACCCCCCACCTGCCTCCGCGCGCCCAGACATTTCGGCGTGTGAATGCTCCTTCAGTTGCTTGTTTGTCTTCTGATTATTATTATTATTATTATTTGTGCACCAATCAATGCGTGCAAACAAAAATATCTCGTGGTCAAACAGGGTTAAGCCAACTCTCGGCTCCTGGAGCAGAAAGCAAACGTGGGGGGGGGAGAGCGATTTCAACTGCGCACGGTCAAATACGCATGCGGGAGCTGTTGGCGCATAAATGGTCAGCGCACTTGCAATCTGCGGGTTGGCGATTCGAACCCGGCTCCTGGGAGCTGCAGTCAAGACAATGGGGGCAAGTTCACGCAGTCACCCCCCTCCCCCACCTCTGTCCACACAGCAGCGTGAGTTCGTGCACGACTGAAGGAATAAGCGGCACCTCGGAGGCATTTGGTGGCAGCGAGGCAAATGGATGGAATGACAAGGAGCTGAATGTGTACATTACTTCGCATCGCGAGCCACCCTTCGAGCTCGGAAGCCTAACACGATCACTCATTGGAAGGTTAACCGTTAAAAGTGTCCAGCTTAATTTCAATGGATGCTCTCGCTGTCATTCCAACGCTCTCATTCAGAGGAGAGAAAACGTTCCGTCGATGTCTTTCAATTCGAAATCTGCGACCCAAAATAATATGAAATCCGAAACGTGTGGATCAATTGTTCCTTGAATGGCTGTCAAGGCAAGCTTTTTTTTTGCTCAATTGAAAGCCAAATCCTTTCATAGGTTTGTGCCAAACACACTGCTGTTTGGTGGGACAGTGATAATGTGCCGCGTGGAAGGGTTTTCCAAAAAGCGGCCTCAATTGGCTAAATGAGGACATGGGGAGAGAAAAAGAAACGAACGTCGACAATTTGACCCACATATGCCACTTTTGTCATGTTGCTCGAGAGGCTTGACGCTTACACAGGCTGAACGGAAATTGTCATCCTGATGTTGCGTTTCCCAACACAAGGACGCACACGCAGCACACACAAGGGGAGGTTGAAAACATCGAAACCGAAATAGACTCGCAACAACTTGCTTTATTCATTATTGTGTCTTTGTCTTAGGCCACATAATGGCCTAAAAACTCAATTATGAAATGCAATATTGTCTGAGAAAACCTACGTGTTAAGTTAACTAAGTTTATTCAGGGTTTTTGGGTTATCTCTGCCGTATTTCATTTGCTTGTCTCATAAGGATAGTTGTAGTTTGATTTTTAAATGCCAATCTAGCAAAATGGTCCTGAATGACAGAATGTTCAGTATATCCACCATTATGTCCGTAAGCAAAGCCTCGTCCATTGTACATCATCATCGTCATCATCATCATCATAGGTAAAGTTTTGCTTCACTGGTTTACTTCAAGGGAGCACTCCTGTGTATTTATAGCACAGTACAGACACACAGACGATCCGCTTGCATCGCTCCGGCAGGTATCACCAGCCGACTCGTAAACTTGCTCGTGGGCGGAGTTTCAGGGGGGGGGGGGCGCATGCCCCCCCCCAAACTGGGCACCATTATTAATTTATTTACAATAATTTACAATTAAGATTTTAAAAAGTGTTATATGCACTATTCCGTAATGAGAAGTAAAACTCCGCCTGTCAACTTGTTGTACGTTCCATCATAGAGGTTTTTTTGGGGGGAGTTAGATCGCGTAAAAATATAAATGTGTCGTTAAAGCCGCCACCATCCGACACAGCCAATTAGTAAGGTTTGTCACGGAAACAGAACGTGCCAATTCGTTACTGGTACAGCACAGCGGTGTGTTGGAGAGTAAACCCACAACGTTTACAATCTGAGATTGTTGGAGAGTTTAACGACACATTTATATTTACACGATCTCACCCAAAAAACTACTATTATGGGTAATATTGGTCGTGAAAGGCTACTACCACGTGAGAACTTGTTGTACGTTACTTTTGTTTTCCTCATATTTACCTCTAGCCCACCTCTGCAGCCTTCTTTGCCGACTTCTCTGATGATGGGTTTCTCTCGTCACTTACAAGACGTTGTTCACCCAGGTCTTCAACAATCTCCAGCACTTCATTCCCCATTTTTGTTCCTTCCTAACAACGACTATGTCATCAGCAAATCTGAGATGGTTCGTATTGTCCCCATGTACGGTGTTCACGCCTCCCAATATAATATTTTGGGAAACGTTCATCTGGCATCGTTGGGAATAACCCTGGCGAGGCAAAGTCTCCTCATGTGGCTGTGTCCCCGTCGAAGTTTCGTTTTGTGTACTCGAGTGTAGCGGATGCATTTTCAAAGAAATGCTTTCCTTCCGAATACGTTCATCGAGGTCTCCGTTCTTTTGAGCGTCTGGATGTGTGCACCCATTCACGCTGAGTCAAACGCCTTTCATAGTCTACAGAGGCTAGGGCCTAATGGTATTTGATATGCCATTAGCCTTTTCCAGAATCTGAGTGATATGATTGATCATGTGCCGTGAAGAAGGACCATTGCCGGAAACGTCACCTATGATCTACTTTTCCTTGCAGTGCCACATTGTTATATTGATTAATGTGCTTTTTGATTGACAGAGTGTATGATAGTGGTGGGGAGGAGGGGGGGGGGGGCATGGGAGATTTAAAAAACTTGTCCAATGGTTTTTACACTGCCCTGCTTGAAGATCGAATCGAGCCGACGACCACTTGGATGACAAGTCCAGTGCGCTGACCAGTACACGGCAGCATCGCCGCTCAGTTCTCAACATCATCTACGTAGGTTTTCTCCGGGTTCTCTAGCTTCCTCCCATAACTAAACAAACATTAACCGATATTGGGGAAACACCCCAAATTACCTGCAAATATGCTGAAAGATTCAACGGAAATGACTCAATTGGGAGGATACTCGTTAACACAGAGGGCTAAATTTTGCTGTCACCCCGAAACATATTCCGGTAGATGATATCATCTCTCAGGTAGATGTAGCCCTCAAAGGCATAGGACACATCCAAGCAGACGTTGCGAGAGCTGAAATAGCCACTGTTCTTAAGAATGCTAAGAAACCCATTAGCAACATAAGCAAAAATGAACGCTCTGAACTCGTGAATTTAAAAAAACAGAAGTTATATAGTCATCCTCTCAGCCGACAAAGGCAACGCTACTGTAATTATGGATAAAGATTCGTACAACAACAAAATCCAGAACCTACTCAACGATGGACGTTACTAAAAATTTAAAAATGACCCTACTAATAGCCTAACTATAAAAACCAACAAGATCATCACAAGTTCGACCTCCCTAATTGAACCAACTAAACGTCCCTCCCTAAAACCTTCTGCTGCAAGACCCCCTAGATTCTATGGTCTCCCCAAGATTCATAAAGAAGGCACTCCACTATGACCCATCGTATCCACGATCAACTCCCCTACCTATAAGCTAGCACGTTTTCTGTCAGATACCTTGCTACCTTTCACTGGTAAGACCTCCTCAGCAGTACTTAACTCCGCCCAATCGGTTTCCATGGTCAAAGACGTTGTACTGTCCCCTGACGATATCCTTGTCAGCTTCAATGTGGTCTCCCTGTTCACCAAGGTCCCGGTACCTGATACCATTGAAATAATTGAAAATTTGGTACTACATGGACTAGACCCCGATACCTGCGCTGTTTAGACACTGCCTCACCAATACATACTTTACTTGGAATGGCACCTTCTACAAACAAAATGATGGTACCCCCATGGGTTCTCCCTTATCACCAGTGATAGCCAATGTTTTCATGGAGAAATTTGAATCAGACGCCATCCAGACTTCCACCCTCAGACGTTCCCTGTGGAAGAGATATGTGGATTCCCACCACCACCCAGCTCAATATAATTATCTCATCAAAACGTTATACCACAGGGCTCATTGCATTTCGGACCACCACCACCTGACCAGTGAATTAAAACATGTACATCTGGCCCTCAAGAGGAATGGATACTCTGACCGTACCATCCGCCAAGCTGTTTCTCCCTCCATACAGAAACAACCACTTGATACCCCGGTCAAGACCATCACACTACCATATATAGCAGGCGTTACTAAAACGATCTCCAAAATTCTAAACAAACACAAGATCCTGGTCCGGTTCAATACAGTACACAAAATCCGTGACCTGATCCCATCCGTGAAGGATGTCATTCCGGACTTACAGTACCCCGGGGTTTACAAATTGAGCTGCACTTGTGGTGATTGCTATATCGGGGAGACGAAGCGACATGTCTCTGACCGAATTCGCGAGCACAAATCAGATTTGAAACACGGCAGAACGAATTCTTCTGCCGTGGCTGACCACTGTTACAACGTTGTGGGTGATCACGATATAGTTTTCTCCGATACCAAGGTCCTCTGCAAACCCACGGGTTTTTATCAGAGATTTGTACACGAGGCAATTCAGATTTACAAACACAGACACAATTTCAACCGAGAAGATGGTTTCAAATTAAGCAATCATTGGAAAGATGTTTTAAATCATACCAAACATTAAACTAATTTCAATGGTACAGTATATTGTCCAAGTAGTGATATACCAAACTTTCACAGCAGCTTATTTCCCTTCGAGACGACGTTTGCATTGTCAAATTCCCCTCCCCCTCCCCCCTCCCCCGTGTTAAGTGTTCTATCAGCACTTTAAGTGTTCCATCAACACTTTAGGCTAATTCCTTTGTCAAAGCGTTTGGTTTCCTCCCACACAGCTTAAAGGACGCGACCTGGCTTGACTTTCTTTATTACAATGCTGTCTTCATGACAGCACGGTCCCCTTCACCTGATGAAGGCCACTTGTGTTGTGGCCGAAACGTCGTGATTTTTGTTGTTTTATTTTTTACCTACGTGACTTTACCGAATTGAACCAAAGAGTACAGAATTTTTGTTTGAGACCCGGCGAGGCTTCCCTGCGCAAACAAGCAGAACAATCATCACGAAAGCACTCGTGCGTCGTTCATGTATCAATCACGTTTAATTCTTTCCTGCACAGCGGTGGATGCGGCAGCTCCGGAGCGGGTGGCGGCAATGGCAGCGGCAAGGGCGGCCTGGGCGCGTTCTGCCCGCTCGACCGTCGCCCGCTCCGCCCGGAGGCGTGCCGCGCCGCCAGCCTGCTCGTGCGGCGCCTGCTGGACAAGCTGCCCGTCGCGTGCCCCTTCGCGGCTGAGTGCGGCAGATCGGCGCTGCCGCGAGGAGACCTCGCTGACCACCTGCGCCGCAGGTACATTCGCTCGTCCGCTCGCCCGCTCGCCCGCACGCTCGCCCGCATGCTCGCCTGCTCGCCCACACGCTCGCCCGCTCGCTCGCCCGTTCGCTTGCCCGTTCGCTTGCCCGCGAACCAACTGACTCTCCCGCTCACCAGCCCACTCACGCTCCCACTCGTCCGCCAGCCCACTCACTTTTAACGCTCGCCAGCCCGCTCACTCTCCCGCTCACTCACCCACCAGCCCACTCACTCTCCCGCTCACTCACCCACCAGCCCGCTCACTCTCCCGCTCACTCACCCACCAGCCCACTCACTCTCCCACCAGCCCACTCATTCACCCGCTCACTCTCCCGCCCACTCGCCCGCCAGCCCACTCTCTCTCCCTCTCACCAGCTCGCTCACTCTCCCACTTACTCGCCCACCCACTCATCCGCCAGCCCACTCTCTCTCCCTCTCACCAGCTCGCTCACTCTCCCACTTACTCGCCCACCCACTCATCCGCCAGCCCACTCTCTCTCCCTCTCACCAGCTCGCTCACTCTCCCACTTACTCGCCCACCCACTCGTCCGCCAGCCCACTCTCTCTCCCTCTCACCAGCTCGCTCACTCTCCCGGCTCACTCGCCCGCTAGCCTACTGACTCTCACGGTCGCCAGCCCACTCACTCTCCCGCTCGCCCAACCGCAAGCATCCTTGTAGCTCTTAAATACATTGATCTCATTCCCCCATCGCCATGATGGACATCCTGTTGGGCGCGTTTCATCTGATGGTTGCCACTCTCTTATTTGTTTTGACCACCGGCTATCATCCATTGTCGTGATGTGTCCTGCCCATGATATCTTAATAAATAGACAATGCTCCTGCCTCTTTCGCATATATGCCCCTCCATGTAAACAAAATCGAAGTATTTTTTTTTTTATTCTACATCCCATCAGCTACACAGTCTTCTTGGAGAACACAATTTCAGCAGCATTGGTTTAACACACTCATTTGTCTCAATGGCAGAGTTATGTCTTTAAATTATTTACGTTCGTCCTCTGATCCACATGTTCCTCCTTCCGTCTCTTAAGTGTGATTCTAAGCAAGCGCCTCTCAATTTTCCTCTGCGCACTCATCAGCTTTTGTTCCATTTCTATGGACAATGTCCACATTATACAGCTGGTAATATACGCTGATTTAAAAAAAAAAAACTGGACAGTGTTTTTTTCCCTGATTAAATGACATTATTATTATCAATCTACACAAACTCATTAATGTGAAGAATTGTGGGTAACAACAAATACAAATATATGGTCGGTCTGCTTCTGAAGATCCAAACACCTAATCTGTTGTCATTGCCCTATTAGCATTTGTTGAAGCAAGAAAATCCTGGACAAAAACGGGCCCAGAGTTCGTTTGCTTCGACAAATGCTTTTGGGCAATATTGGTCTAGGAAGCCAATAGACCGATGACTAAAACACATTGCATTCGTATATGTGGAGACGCAGAAGGAAGGTGCGTTATCCATTATTGTTTTCATTATAGCCCCACACACACACACACACTGACTCACCCTGACCCAAAGCGGCACGGAGATCTCCGGTGCCGCGCTCAATCACAGAGCATGACGAGCACGTGACGTCTCACCGAACAGCGCAGGATCTCGCTGCCGTCTGCTCAAAATGCGTCGTCGCACCCAGGGTTGTCACACAGAGTACCCCCCCCCCCCCCGCCCTGTCACCGCGTCCCCACGGGAACGTACGCGGAGTGCCGCTTTTCACGGAATGAAAAAAAGTTCAAATGTCCTGGCGACACGCCGGAGAAGGGGCTTACGGTTAAAGGCGAGGGTCAAGGTCAGAGTTTGTGCGAGGAGACGGTTGGCTCGATTGTTAGGGCGAGGGCACGTGATTGGTCGGCTATTGTGCTGAGTTCCCTCGCAAGTTGCCACCGCCGCCCATTGCGAAATGCGGTCCCGTTTTGAAGTTCGCGTTCACCTCTCAGGTGCCGTGATTCCAGTGATGCGTTACACTTAAGCAAAAACAACTGGGACGATTATTCGATGAAACGTATTCATCGAGAGCAAATTGAAAAATGTGTCACCTGTTTTTTCGCGGGTCGATTATTCGGGACCCTTTAAATATGGCGGGCCGCCCCGACATCCTGTCTCACGAAGGAGGGAAACCCCCCTTGCAAGCCACGCCCCAACAAGGACTCGGCTGAACATGCCGATGAAGTCACCAAGCCCCGCCCATCTCATCCCGCCCAGCGGCACACGTGGGGAGAGTAGCGAGACCCGATTCCCCCAACTATTTTAGTGTTATCCGACTAGTAGAGTAATCTAACCGATAATCGGTGGAGTAATCGATTATAGTAATACCCCCATCTACATCCCCCCTCTTACGTTGTTTAGCAAATACGTCATCACTTTATTCTTAAAACCTTTACTCGATTTCCGTTGCCTCCATCCACACTTACGTCGATGACAGCATCTTGGCGTCGTTTCTCGTATCTGTCGCTTCTCAGCCTTCACCACCACCACCTACCCTGTAAATCGCTGTGATTCACGTCGTTTCAATATTCGTCGTCGCACATCTCAGGAACGCATCCGCGATGTAACCCGGGCTATTGCTGTACTTACATAATTGGACAGCCCAGCTGTGTTGCCCTTACTTCTCCTGTACTGCAATACTGGAGCGGCCGACAAATTTATTATGTTACGTCTAACCCTGTTGCACTGACAAAAACTGCACTGAGACGCATTCCATAGTCACACTGGAATTAACGCACGTGACGCCAAAACCCGCACTGGTCAGCATGGTGAAGTATGGTGAAACAACTCGCTTAACCGACATGACATGGGGAGACCTACATCCACCGGTTGATTGACAAAGGGCTGAAAATGAATATTATTATTAATTATTATTTCATTCTAACTAAAATCAGGCCATCCCTCCATTCCGCCATCACCTCCCCTGCAACCAAATAAGCATAAATAATAATAATGAGTTTCTGTCCTACGTTGTTATTTGCACGAATATTTTGACTCAATTTCGGCCGTTAGTGCTGTGCACATCAGGAGGCTGCTTGACTTGTACCGAGTCCAGCAGACTTTGCCCACTCCATTATGGAACATCGTGTGTGCCTCTATTAAGCTCCAAGCAGGTTGCAGTCTGGTGCGATTGGTGGACTAACAGATGCGAGAGGGCTCACACAAGCCCGTCGCTTATTTAATCGTGGCAGAGAGGTGGCTCGCTGCAAGGGGCATTTGTTTTGTGCACAGGAGGGTCCTGTCCGTTAACCGGCGTATTTATCGGAACGTTTATATATCGCCCGTAGATCGCTGGGCTCCATTGCAAGGGGGCGATACGACACCAAGCTATATATAGACATAAAAAAAACATTAAATTAGTACGCAATTGATTTTGTTAACAGTTGTTTCCTATTATTAATGGACAAAAATAAATAGGTTAAGAGGTCACTGGATGGCTCAGGGGGATGATGCCCATGTCCCCGAAGTGAGCCAACAAATCTGGAGATCCTGTACTGAAGCTCGAGGATGGACACACGCGTTAAAAAGAAAATGAAACAGCGCAGGCCCCCAGGTCTACTCGGCGCAATGCTCACGAGCGGAGATTGTAACGGTCTCGGCATGGGCGCGGATGGCTAGGGACCAGCACTGACCCGAAACCGATGTCTGCAATCGGTTTATTCTGCATCGGCTTCAGAGAGCCAACGCAGCCTCACCGCGATTTTTGGGGATTAGCGACTGGTTCAGCGGCGGACGCGCCACGTCTCTGACAGCCAGGGCTGAGGCTCGCCGAGCAGCCTTCAAAGGAAGCCCCTGAAAGTGTTGGTGGCCGCATAGCAACGCTAGCTCCAACCAAGTTAGGAAGGAATCATGCGTACACACGGATTATATGCAGTACTTTCCAACATGTGTTTGTCTTTGTATGTACCGCAATATTTGCATGCATGTTGAACCTCTTTCATGCCGTATGTAGTCAACCGCGCTAATCGGAGGTGCAGGGGAAGGACAACAAACTAAACACAAAAAGCAGTTCTAAAGAAATGAGCTTTCAATCTAAATTATTTAAAAGTGCATAGCTCCAGTGGCTTCCTAATATCGGACGAGCGTTCCAGACGGCCGCAGAAGTGCATCTGAAGACGCGCGTTGCAGTGACCGTCTTTGTTTGATGGCGAGACAAAAGCAGCTTCTGCAAAGATGACGGGACGACATTATTACGGTCATATTACAACAATACCGCTTACGTTTATTGCGCCCATAGTGCAACAAAACGTCCCACGGTGCAGATTTTTAGCTGAGGGGACCCCCCTTCATGGTAGCTTGTCCCTGTGTAGCACAAGGTGACTCAGCACCTGGTCTGCAAGCGGTCATTAGTCTGCGTTTAGGGGGCGATGATAGCTATGGGTAATCCCGACGGAGTAATTTGCAGGTAATCTTTTGAAAACCTGGCAAAGTTGGATGACGGTGCTGGCACACAAGTCACGGGATCTTTAACCCTTTCCCATTTCCGATCAGTTTTTTTTTCTGATTCCGTTCCGACTCCATACGTGTACGTCATCGGAACAGGAATCCATTCCGAACGGAATCGGAAGTAAAAGGCCAAGCGGCAGTTTGGCGCCAGCTATCATAGAGTGCGGTTGTGTCCAGGGGCGGAACCACAGGGGGAGCTGGGGGGGGGCCCTGCCCCCCCTGAAATTTTGGGAAAGTCAGTAATCGGGATAACCGGATATCTGGCTGCTGCAAAATGCTGCAGGCTGCCACCTTGTGCTGCCCTGCAGGCTGCCACCTCGTGTGCTGCCCTGCAGGCTGCCACCTTGTGCTACTCTGCAGGCTGCCACCTCGTGTGCTGCCCTGCAGGCTGCTTGAGCGGCAGCCTTTCGAACTTATCGAACTTTTTATCCACATCAGCGGCTCCGACCTATTAATAAACTCCGTGTTCAAATCCAATAAATTTGTTTTATACATTTGTGACGCGCATTGGAAAACATAAACACACTGGATATCTCAGAATAT